AATAATGTGTCGGGGACCGTATCGACGGCCGGTCTCGGGGGATTTTACTCGCGGGGGGAAGTAAGAGTATTTTGCGTGGAGAAGAGCGGATACGAATTGATGGGTCTTGTCCAGCTTTGTAAAGTTGTTGATAAGGGGATGACAGGAGACAGAGGTATTGTACACAGAGGTATTGTACGTTGAATCTTTCTTCGAGATATTTATAAATTGATTCGCAGTTTCTTTTATTTTATAAATTTAAAAGTAAATTTAAAATTCCGAAACGAAGTTGCGGATTCTTTTTGGACTGCATGCGAAAGGATACAATTTTTTGTTTTAAGATTTGGTAGTTTTAGCGTGGTTAATACACGAGAGAAAAAGGATCGTCGAGAAGGAGAAAGGAAAAAAGAATCATGGTTATAAATCTACAGCCGCGAATGGTATTGCGAAGAATACTTATTATTGTCTCGAACTGAAAGGAAGGTCTTCGAAATGCAACGAGCTGGTTGATGATAGGGTCGTCCCGTATGGGTCCGTAAATTATGGTGCTACATGTATGGAAGTTGCCGCATAACTACGTGGAAAGCTTGCTGCTCGCCGGATGATAGACCACACGCAGACCCTTTCGTATTTTTGTTAGAAACATCCGTTCAAAAATCGGCGGTCGAATATGGAATTGGAGGATTTCGTCGATGATTATTGCAATATTGACCTGGTTGCAAATTATCGTTACAAAGTGATTTGGAACTTGAAAAATCTCTCTTCTTTTTTATCAAATCGAATCCTCGTCAAGTCACGAATAATAAAGGAAGGAGGAATTCTTGAAATTTTAGAAATTAAAAGAATGGAATTAAATAAATTCAAAATGGATGAAAACGTGTGCTCGTTTCGACTTGACAAATTTTAAATTTTCACAGAATTCACTCGATTCGTGAAATTCAATATCCAATTCGATATCTGATTCGAACGAAATCAGAAATGGAAATCCCTGTTTCAGACTTTGTTGCAATTTACTCGCGAGACGACCAAATAGACGTCGAGATATCTGCTAAATCGCTTTTGAAAGTAGCGTTCGATCGAAAGGAGGATCGAGAAGAAATCGAATTTCAAAACTAAGTTTTCTCTCTCGCACGACAAATGTTATAATTTCATCCATATTTTATTAAACGAAAAAGACAAACTCATTTTTCCCAACTTCCTATTCTTCCTATTTAATTTACAAAAAAAGAAAGAAAGAAATTAAATTACTTGGCGATAAGAGAAAAAGAGAAGCAACAAGATAATCTTACAAATTCGCGTCAACTACAATATCAAAGAATATCCGTCAAATCGGCAAAGCCTTTGGAAATCCACACCCTGTACACGATAAAATACACAGGGCGTTCGTCATACGGTCGCGGCCATAAAGCAGAATTTTCGAAAAGGGAAGGCAAAACGATCCATTCACCGCCCCTTTCCTCCCTCCCGACTAATAATTCCAAAACGATCCGCTTTATATTTACGACGCGTACACGTTTATAAACGACACTGGCCCGTTTGATGCTCGCTTTATTTTATAGTTTCCCCGTTTCTCCCTTCCTCGCTCGATCGGTACACCTCCCATATTTTGGTTGCGCCAATCCCTCCAACCACCTTGGATACACTCTCGAGGAGTTTACACTGGAAACACGAGTCGTAATTTTTGGTGGTTCGAGGGGGGTGGAAAGTGAATTTTCAGTAATCGAGTCGCAAGTTTCGTGCCCTCGACCGCTATGGTCCCATAGTTTTCCACTTAGTCCGAACGTGTGTTGGGTTTACGAGGTTATATCGACGTGGCGAGGTAGTTAAAGGTCCTTGGAGCTGGTTCCAACAACCAGTTCTCCATCGGGGAACGTTAGTTTACGGGGTGAGGAGGGGGAGGCGCGTCGAAGTACGGATCACCGATGACGGAATGAAATTTTCGATCGTTCGAACTGGATTATAAAAGCGATAATCCGTACAACCTGTGATATTTTTTTAGAGATTGGTAACAGGTGTAAAGTGTTATCTGTATGTTATTTTATAGAATATTAAATAAGAAACGCTGACTCGCGGAATTTGTAGCGATAAGTCACTGTACGGATTCGTTGTACGAATCCTTACGCTGGCGTTATCCAAGCTTTGCTCGCGGATTAAGCGGACAAAGTTCACTCCTGTTCTTTATCTCCTCTTTCAAGAACGAGACAAAAAATAGGAGAATTGTATTAACGTATTGATCCATTTTTCAAATTTCTTTTTCCTACGAGGGAGCGTGTCCAAACATCTGCGCAACAGATTTTTATATTTAGAAAGAAATTTTGGCGGAAAACTTTATCAGATTATCGCGAATTATTAAAAATTCTCTTCGAATAATAATCTTGTCGAAGGACAAAAATTTATCCGTTCTAAATTCAAGTATAATTAAATTCAATAGTATAAACAGAACCGCTGGAATAATTCGTAACATTTGCGAGACAAGAGGGCCCGAGTTCTGGACTAAACAAATAGATTTCCGGTAAGAGAGAACGAGGCGGGGACGCAGTTTCCGAGATTCTGGAGCCTCGATAGGGGCGCTTAATAGAAATCCTGGGCAAGATAGAATCTCGATTGGTAACATTATTATTATGTCCCCACTCGGCAACAAGGGCCCCGATCTGCGGTTTCCAAGTGTCCAACTCGCAAACCAATGGTAGTTAGCAGAAGCTGTTAAGGACACCGTGAACATTGAGTATCGCCGCATCGATTGTCCTCGAATTCGGCATGCAAGGAGTTCGAATTACCAGATATACCGGCCAAACACGAGACAACTACGAGGTACCTGAAATCGACCACCGAAAGGACACCTGATTCTGTTTCAACCGTAGCCTATAAATTTCACGATACCGCATAGATGATGCGAAACAAATCAACGCAAAATTGGAAATAATACGTTTCAGCCGATCGTGCGTCAACATACGTCAAATAGGAGAGAGTTTGCCGGCGAGAAAGAGAGATCACTTGCGACGAGTAACCTAGAACCACCGTCCAATTTTCCCTAGGTTAACGCTAAAACACTTTCTTTCAACCGAGGAAACCTCGCCCCCGGCAACCGCCAACTACCCTCGAAATCATCCATGTCCTCGTTTACCCTAATCCCGCGAGCGAGCGATCGATACAAGGAAGAGGAACGAGGAGGGTTGGATCGGATCCGCGCGAGTTTTTCCCCCAATTGCTCCAAGCAATTACTCCAAATCGTTCCATTCTCGAATCCACGGATCATTTCTTCGTTCGTGGGAGAGGAGAAAAAAGGAAAGGAAAAAGGAAAGGGGGAAAAAAAGGAAGGCGAACAAGCATTCGTTAGCATTAGCATCGGGAAAGAAAGGGGGAAGATCGGTAAAATCGTCGAGACTTGGCTCGAAAACTAGGAGAACCGACCTGGAAGAGGGGGGAGGTCCAAGTTTCATTAACTTCTGAAAACGCGACGCGTCGATCGATAGCGTGGCCGCGGGAAGCTTGGTTGTAACCCGGGCAAAAAGCTGCGATGAAGCACGATAATCCGGCGCGCAGAGACGGCCGATATATATACGGGGAAGCCCGTTGGCTGGTCGGTAGCCGACTCGAAAAACAAGTGGGAAGGGGGTGCGGTAGGGGGTTGGAGCAGAGGCGAGAGTAAATGCACACGGACAAGGGGAGCATCTAGGATGGTATCGTGGGTTTATTGCGCGTTTTACGGGTCCCCGACGCTTGTATAATTGTCGAGGGCGGAGGGTTGGCCCATTTTCGAGGGGAAATATGGCCGCGACTCGAGCGACTCTCGCCGGCAAAAGTCGATACTTCGGCTCGAGAGTTCGTTTGCTCCTCGTCGTAGTCGTCGTCGTCGTCGTCGTCGTAGTCGTCGTCGTCTCTCTTCCATCCTCTGTGGAAAAGGCTGAAAAGCGGCACCAGCCTCTGCTAGCCTCTACGAGCTTCTAATCAGCCTACATCTGTCCGTTGTGCGGATCGAGCAGAGTGAGAGGGTGGCAAGGGAGCGCAAGAGGGAGAGGGGGAGAATGGGGTGCACGCGCGCTCGCGTTCGCGCACGCGGCCCTACGCACCCCCTTTNGCGCACACCTGACGACGGGCTGGATGAGGGTGGTGGTTGGTTTCTAGCGGAGGGGAGAAGAGAGAGAGAGAGAGAGAGAGGGAACAGGGGAATCGAGATATCGATTCTACGCGCGATACCGCCGGGTGTTTCCGGGCCTGGTCGCTCGCTTCGAGCACCTTCGACAACTTCGACAACGCTAATTACAGGATGACGAACTAACCGTGGTCACACCGGACTTCCGTTCTCTGCTCGGGGAGAAAATCGACGTGAATGGAGGAGGAGGAGGAGGAGGGGGAACAGGGGGATAGGATCGTCGTCGATGGGATGAATGGAACAAATGGAACGAAGGAAAGAAGGGAATGGAGGAAAGTAGAAATTTTCCGTTCCTTTCCAACGCGTTTCTCTTCTCCTTCTATCTGTTTCTCAACCGTGATGATCGTTTATCATCGTTCGTGGATAATAGTTTTCAAGTCCCGCGAAAAAATGGGCTATCGATAGAGAGGCCGGTTATACGAACCGCTTGTGTATCGCGCGAGCGGTGGGTCAGAAGCTTTGTGAATGGGTAAAAGGAAATCCGGTTGATTAGTTTTGGATAGGAACGATTCGAATCGGTGAAACTTCTTTTAATTTCGCATGGCCCGTTATTTAGACCGGTTTGCATGCTGTTGACGGTAAAAAGCGATACCGGAGGGTAGGTGAGGGAGAAAGAGGTGAAATGCTTTCCAATCACGGATACGTATACACGAAGGACAAAGAGCGTTTTTTCAATTATTGAAAATAAGTCGTGGGAAAACGGGTTATTTTTTTCTATTTCCTCCTTTGTGTCCTACTCTATTTTTTTTTTTTTATTTTTTTACTATCTACTTTTTTTTTTTTACTTTCTTTTTTTTTTTTTCTTTTTCCCCCTTTGTGTCCTACTCTATTTTTTTTTTTTATTTTTTTACTATCTACTTTTTTTTTTTTTCTTTTTCCCCCTTTGTGTCCTACTCTATTTTTTTTTTTTATTTTTTTACTATCTACTTTTTTTTTTTTACTATCTTTTCTTTTTTTTTTCTTTCTTTCTTTTCGTTCTTTTTTTTTTTTCGGTTGAACGTTCCATGAAAATCGGTACCCCCTTTTCTCATCGAGCGTTTCTCGTTTCCGACTTTGAATACCTTTTTTCCGGCCGATCGTTTCGCAACCTGGAAATACGAAACTCGCGATCGACAAAGAATTCAACGCAATGGACTACATACTGGTACAAAGGTATCGTTCGAATGGGGAATAATTTAGGTTTTTCGATAAAAGAGATCACCTTTTTGTCCTGGCCCATTCTAGGGGAAGAGACATGCTCCAGGCACGAGTTTATATTTATATTTTCGCGAAATACGATAGAAACATTGGATGAGCTTTTCTTTCGAAGATGAGTAAGCTTCGATGAATAAGTTTCAGTATTCAGAATTATTATAATTTCTATTCTTTATATATATGCGAGAATAACCTTTGCCTACCATGTTTCTTTCTATCGAGCATTTCTTCGTTCCTTTAAGACGTGTCTCCTCGTTTCGCTATATAGACAATAGAATATACGGAAGAGAAAAAGAAATCGTTTAAATAATACATAAATTTAAAAATTACATAATCCCTCCCAATCCTAACCTAACCCCTTCCTTCAAACGTTTCAACATTTTTTTTACAACAAATATTCCCATCGATACAAAACATAAATCCAATATACGCACATCCCTCCACAAAAATCAATTCCCGCTCTTAATCCAAAAATACGGCCTCAACATCCCCCTCAAATCAAACCCACGATCACTTTGCGCGACTCCCCCTAAAATGTTCCTCGATCTATATATATATATATATATATATACACACACACACACACACACACACACACAAGCCAATCGACCAACGTCGAAGATAAATCATTACAACGACTAGAACCCTTAAGCCATAGTATCCTGTCGCGCAACATAAGCTAGAAAAATCGAGACCACTCGATGGAGGGCACGTGAACCCCGTAACAATTGGATCGAACGATTTTGAAGCGAGTGAAAGAAAGGGATAGAATAAGTTTCTTCCTCGTCGCCCTCATCATTGCCACCATCATCTTTGGCGCTATTGTCGTCATCTCCATCGCCGTCATCATCGTCGCCATCATTGTCGTCATCGTCATTATTGTCTTCATCGTTATCACCTCCTTGCTCCCTCATT